TTCACCCAGCAAATAGAACTTACGAGCATCGCATTCGTCTTGGAGCTCGATTCAGTAACACCCTCGACGCAGGCTGTAACCCAGTGTCAAAACGGAAGCGAGCTAATATATTTCTTCATCTATCAAGCCATCATGGATAGTGGCGCAAAGCAACAATAACAGCCATAGATAGATGGATAAATAGAAATATCTTCAAGCTTTCGAACGGAAAGTCACTATTTACGCGCAATTGCGAGCGTCTATTTGTTTTCCCGCTGAATTGTCACTGTCTTAATTAAATTATGCATTGCTGAAACGTATCAACTGCATAATTGGAAGACAATCAAGTTGACTGCTATTATTGATGATGGTAAACGAAGAAATTGTTTGGTAGCCCGAAATTAGAATGAAGCAATAGTCAATAGCATTGGGTTGCTAGTTATCCGCAGGCGCTACTGATATCGTCATATCGGCATCATAGTAGCCAGTGGATAGGTTCCTTGGAAGATTTATAAAATGGCGACAATTCCTTCTCATACTTATGTTACGTTAATTAAGCTACGTTAATTACTCAAGCAAGACCTGCATCCATTTTCTAATTAGTCTGGCATGAAGCCGAATCCTTGAATACGTACTAAACGAGTTGTCTGTTGCTGGCGGACCCCGTGCAAGTGCCGAAGTGGCGCATCAGCAAGTTCGTGTATGTGCCTTGACCAAGAAGAATACAGAAGTATATTTGCAGTTGTTCGAACGCAGGTAATCCACTCTTGTTCCCTGAAGGGCTGCTTTAGGTCTCCCTTCCTGTGCGTGCATAGATGTTCACACGTACAGCTGTGGTCCTGATCCTTTGCAAACAACTGGATTAGAAGGACAATTTCAATCGCCTTTCAATATCTATCCCTTTATTCCTTTCGTTTGCTGGGACAGGTTGATAGCCATTTTTCCTATGAATAAAGAGATACAAAATCAGCATATCGCCGGTAATGTCATCCCTATATAAACAACGAACTTCTGGGCACCAACTCAGAAAGTAAAAATGTCGAGAGCCATAAGCGTTCTAAGCTTGTGCCACGTACGGTTTATGTTGGTCATCTTATAAAAGCTAAAATTGAAGGAAACCCTTTCGAAAAGTCAAACGGGAAACTTGTGCCGAGCTAGTTGATGAGACGTCTCAACGTAATCGAACAGTGCATAAATGCAACACGGGCCGTGTGCGACATCTCGCCAAAGCAAAAATATGACGATATAAATACGCAAGGATAGTCGGCATAAAAAAGTCACTAAAGTAATGATTTTTTAAAACTTTATTTATAGTAAAATTGCCTAAGTATTACAGTTACATTAGTTTTACTGTTATTCTCAGTAACATGGTGTATACGGTTAATAGTCACGAAATTAATGAATCTAAATAATGAACCATTAATTTTCAAATTGAATTCTATGTTTGTTTGTACCATAATAAGCCGGTTATTTGTATGACGCTTTGCTGTCAAGTGATTTTGAATTGGTTAACTACTTTTGGTCTTCAGAGTGCATCCGAGATTCTTTTCCCTAATAGCTACGCTGCTCTTTAAAGGCTGCGTGATATGTAGCCAATAAATGCAGCTTTAGATATATATTTGCATTTCTGTTTTTTGTATTATTGATATCATTTATGATAGCGCGAATAGGCTGAAGTTTAGCGCTAACTGTCGCAAGCCTGGCTAACTAGCAATCATTGCCTCGGCCCATATGTAGATTTCGCGTTAGCAAAGCGTTCCGCTCATACAACTTCCTTCCGGAATTCTGCGCTTTTCTTCTGTAGTTCTCCCCCTACGTGTGACAGCCCGAGTGATCCAAGCAACAAAGCAACATACATCTCTCCGTGCAGCAGTCGGTCTGACCGTCCATCCATTTGCGCATGCTCGTGTTCCGTCGTCCGTACACTTTCCCGCTCATTCGTCTGTTCTTCGACCACCATGCTCGGGTCCGAGAAGAACAGTAACGGGCCACTCAGTGGTCTAAGAGCCGACTGAGAGCACGTCCTTAAAGACCTGGGTGTTAAAGGCCCGTTTTCCTGCCCTGTTCCCTTGTCCAGCGTTTGTCGGAAGTCCTGCTGCAGCCTGAACTGTAGGAACGGGACAGGATGGGTGAGAACGGGCGGCCCTCTTCCTTCTTTTTCTCTTCGTTTTACTCCTGCGCACTTCCCCTATATGCTTCCACAAATGCTCACTTCTGTAGTATGATATCTCGCGGTATTGCCGCTGGCGGTGATCTTAGCATCGTGGCAGCCTAAGTCTGACCTTCTACTCCTTCTTTTTCCTGCCCCGGTAAAAGCAGCAGCAGCGGCTACATCTGCCGCTGCTGGCCGGCCATCCACAGAACCAGCGCCATCACTACACTATGCCAATCTGACTAGTGGTCGGTTGACGCCATCAGGACAACGAATGCGGCAAGTTCTGAGATGTACAGCAGGTCTACAGTGGTAGCGAGGGTGAACGTAATGGCTAACGTTGCTTCAGCACGTCACCCTTCCTCGCATTCGTTAGGCGAACCACAGACGAGAAGCTGGTGGCCCTTATTGTGTAGTTCCAGTATTGCTGAACGGGCCTAGATTCCAGTGACCCTCGTCTCTATAGCGGTAACGTTCATACTGCAGGACATTTCCGCTTATATCTTTTTTATTTCGAATGACGCGCTCAAGGCATGACGACAATATCGAGGTTGAAGATAGCCACTTGTACCTACTGCTTGCCCCCTTACCGCCTGGTGATGATTTTCCGCAGCTACAGCCCAATAAGGAAGTGTGACTATTCAAGAAAAAGGAACGCAATGAATGATAAGAATAAAACTGTTTGTGAAATCTGCGGAACAAATTCTACTATTCTTCATTCTGGAATAGTATGCAGGAACTAACTATACCTGTATACCTAATTCTCGTAACGTAATCTGCCGGCAAATACTAGGTCCTAGATTTAGCACTTTGAGCATAAAGTAAGATACAAGGCAACTTCCAATCAACTTCTAAGTACTTTATTGCTTTAATTCTGCGTCTAGCTGCAAATGCTCGATGTGCTTCTTAGTTATATATCAGAAACTTACAATATAAGATAAGGGAGATGGAACCCATTGCGTTAATATACATACATGCACTAGTGCCGGTATTAGTGCTACTTATTTGTTTTATATAGCGACAAAAATGCGTACGGTTATTGGTAAGGGCCGTAACACTCGTCCGTTCTGTCCGCATATGTGTTTTACCGTACGGCCTATAGCCACACGTGTTCCTTCTTGTCAGTCCTTTAACGCGATGATTCCCGGTTGATAATCGCCATATTCGTTTCGAATCTTCAGAGATAAGAAAGCATTCGTCTGGGAAAAAAGACTCTTTTTTTTTTTTTTTTTTTGATTTAACGACGTTTTTATTATCAGTTAAGCCAAATTTCCAGCCGGTGTCCACGTTCTACGTGTTGTGTTCAGTCTAGTGAAGAAAACCTAATGCTATCAGGCCCGTTTCAAAATACCGTATCCCTTACCAAAAAAGCTTATTCGATGTTCTGAAGTCTGCGGCGAAACAGCGAAATCCAGTGTGTACAATAACAGCAGAGCACACACTTTTTTTTTTTAACAAAATGGCGTACATACTTGTACGATCCAGTTAGCTCAAGACTTGTTCGCTGAGGCGTTAGCATAGTCTAGAAGAAGTACTTAATCTATCAGGCTATCAGATATGGGATAAGCCCCTGATAAATTTCGGCAACAACGCGTTTGAAAATATTAATAAGAATGCTCTGACACCTTCGAACAAAGTTCTGACACCCACCTGTGACTGGTTTAGGCCCCGTATTTAAGCAATCATCGAAGCTACGGGCAGCTGCTTTGAATAGACACGTGCGTCAGCAATGCCTCTGTCGGCAGATAAAATCTGATCTGAAAATAATATCTGTTTTTGTCTCGTCTAAACATATATTTAGACGTAAATTATATAGTACGTCACCCTTTATTGATCTCTAACTCATTGTATAATATCAGGCCTATAGATTAGATCTCTAGTCTCATGTTATCATATTGTTATAGAGCAATCTATCTCGTAAATTAACTTCTGTGCTTCATTAGGAAGCTCCGGTGTAATGTAAATACGAGCAATAACCATAAATTTCAGGGCTTCTGCATGTATACTGACAGCCAGAACTGATTGATTCAGCTTAAATGAAAGAAATATTGTACAAGAAAGTTTCAATCCACGAATAGCTTGCAAGCTATTTGTCATCTTCTTGTCGATTCGCCGCACAGACCGAGCTCCCGAGGAGGCATACCGAAAGTTGAAGGAATTTTCAAACCACTTTGTATCACAATATATCATAAAGTTTTCTCTACTCTACTAACTATACAAACGCAACTGAAATCTCAGCGCGGGAACTCTATGTTACGCTCGTCGAAGCATCGAAGTGACTTCTTCGACACTTCGGTACTCATGTGTGCGTATGGACACTAAGAAATATCGATTTCACAAATCCGTATAGAACGGTTATTCAGTTTCATATTGACCTGATTGAAAAAATTCGTACGTAGCAATAACATTGAATAACAACATATAACTATATCTTGTCCTGATTCGAACGGTCGTATCGAACCTCGATCGTATAGTAGAAAAGAAACATTGGATAGATCCGACTTGCACCCAAACTGTCGGAGAGGAACTAAGCAGGAAAATGACAACGATTACTCCGAGATGCGAGATACTGGAAATGCCACAGCTGAGCTGCTTTTGAGCATTGATACATGTTCCTAACATCGTCCCTCAATAATAAACGTAATGAATGTCTATGGGCATCTACATGATGAATAAGCTAGGACGAAGGCAGTTCCCATGTGTGCCAGCCCTTCATTGGAAGCGTTTCACGAACAATGATGTAAAATTTACCCAACCTCTCTTTCCCTTCCCCCAAAAAAACCCTACTCCATATGCTTCTCGAAAGTATTGTGAAACGAAAATTGATATTGTATTTGTCTATGTCTATTTGCATTAATGGGCTGGATAGTGTCGCTGATGTCGGAGCTAATTGGAGTTGCGAGTGCGGAGTGCTTCATCGGGAAGGCAATCCAGGACACCGAGCTCTGCAGCAACACGTTCCAGGGGATGTTCGAGAAAAAAGATGACTCCGGCAAAGAGCGCAAGTTCAATGCAACCAACCCCGCAGATCTTCGCGAAGCGTGCTGGTAAGTCACCCCTCGATAAACAGATACGATAAAACTAAGAACTTTCATATTCAATACCAAGCCGGAAATGCTTTTCAGTCATTTTTTTTTAAGTTTGAAATACGCAAAAAAATTAGCTAGACTTGGTTTTATCATTTCAATTACTCGGGTACAAGCACTTCGTGTTAAAGGTAGAACAAGGCAGGCGCACAAATGTTGTTAATTTACACTGAAATTTGGTGCAATTTATGAAATGTTAAAGATATTCTGTCGTTGAGTAAAACAGATTACAAACTTTGCTTTGTTGTTGCCCAGACGAATGCCAAGAACAACGCTGTTCATGGAAAGCATAGATTCGCCCCTGTGTCTCCCTATCGACCTTAGAAAAGTAGCCCGCTAGTTTTGTGATCCACTTATCAAGTTGAACAACATGAAGTTTGTAATGCATAAATTAAACGTAGGAAAACAACATAGTATTAGTGAGTGGGCAAGTATTGCGTTTTATCTTTTAAGCAGCAAAAAAAAATCCCTTTTACTATTATCATTACCAACGGTCGCCTGGGGTATGCGCTTCGGTGCTGCTAGGGAATCCTGAGAACAGTCCATCATAGGTTCACGTGATGCCTCAAGAAACCTACGCCGCCTACATGTGCGTCCGATGAAACTATAGTTCGTCCACTTTTAGATGGCGTCATGTCCAGCGAAGGAAGTGGCATTAGCAACTCATGTCTGATGCCCCCAGGGACACTTCAACCGAACGAGCCACGTTTTCTTCGGTGTGAGTCTTTTATCTCCGCCTTACTCCATTTTACTCGACGCATGCGTATCTTGGCATCCTTGAATCATGTGAGCCGCCACAGCAGCTTAAGGATAGGAAGTAATGATTGGATGAGACATTTGGGAACTACTTCTGTAAATTAACGAATTCAGACACATGTTCATGGCTCCTTGAGGGCCATGCTCGTCGGCCTTTCACACTCAGGCCAGTTCTTTTTATATACCTGTTATGCTTGGCACACGTGACTTCAGAAGCCAGAGGTAGCCGTGATGGTGAGGCCACGGTCTTCGATGCCTCCGCTGCGAGTAAAAGAAGTCAATAGAAGAAGTTGAGTGACAACAGACAGAATACGAATCAGTTCACCCTCGTAGAAAAAACAGTGTCTTTTAGAAGGTGATCATTTTAGGTATAGTCCGTTAGTGCAATGGAATGATGTTTCCCAGATAGGCGAGCTCAACGGTAGACGACAAAGGATTTCCACAAGAGAACCCGCTAGGATGGGTAATCCACTGCTCGCACGGTAGACTGCATGGTAAACCACTTTTGGCTTCCACAAAGAGAAATAAGCGCAAATAGCAGTTGAGTAGAAATGACGGCAGCGGAGAGAACTGTCCTCCAATAGACAAGCACTAAAGATGGTGGTGGTGGATCTTCCCAGAGAGTAAGAACTCTAAAGCAATAATCGTATAGCATAGACGTGGTTTGCATTACCAGCAAAGTCGAAGAATACATATACGCAACCATATAGACAGAAGCCCAACGTGGAAACTGTTTTTTTAGTCCCTTTTAGCTACTGAACCCTTTACTTAAAATATTGTTTCGCTTACTCGCATCTCACAGTCCCGTTCGTCGTTATCGCGGCATTCAGTCCCCTTTCGGCTTCGGGGTTCCAGCATCTTCCTCGATTGCCGATTAACTCTTGATGCTCCATATAGTTCCCTTCAACGTGTTGGAACTTGGTTAGAGTTGACCTCGAATCGCACCCTTTCATCTTTAGCAGAAAAGCTTTACAACAAATAACGTTGATTACTTCATAAGTTCAACCAAAGGCATGAGCGACAGTGGAGAAGCGACCCGGCCAACCCAGCCGTTAGTTGGTAACCCAGTGGTTGTGCCCTCTACATGGGTGGTCACTTCATCTATCAGCCATTTTATCTTCACCTGAGCTCTATTTCAACGGCCAGACGCGAATGTCAAGCAGGCCTGTTACGCTCTCACCCTTCAGGAGCAAGCCGCATGTAGCCTTGTCAACCCTGCCTCCGCTAAACGATCAATCCAGCAGTTGCCAACTAGGACCCGCACGATTGACACGGGCAAGCAATGAAGTCAATGCCGTCAACGAATGGCGGAGAGTACAGTCGCGCCCCTAACAGCAATCATCATGCTTGAAATAAATTCTAAACACCGTAGTGATCCCAGGTGCCTCAGGTTCTGCAAATAGAAGAGTAGTGACACGGTACGCTGCCGCGTTCAAGCGCCATAGGCCAGGAGCCCGAAGGTCTCTACCCAATAAGACCGCAACGACGGAACCCAACAACATTTGGGGGACCGAAGACATGGCCACGGGGTCGGTTGCAGTAACTTCTGTACAAGATTCCAATATAAAAGCGTAGCCTATGAAGTGTGTAAAAGGAAATTAAGGACCCACGCGGTTGAAGGTTACTAGCAGTTCGACAGAATAGTTTCGGACGGTGGGCACAAGGACATAGGGCATTAGGTAGGTCAAGGGTGTGCGTAAATGAGACCGTCGCTTACTAGTTTGACATCTGCAAATCAGCGCTCTGAGCAACAGCCAAAGAAGCTTAATTCTCTGTCTCTCTCTTTGGTAGCACTGTGTTCTCTCTTTCGCCCTTGAGGTTACCCAGTTGCTCCTGGGAGGGCAATTCTTTTAGGATCGACAATTTACCTAACCTCGTCCATATGACCAGTACTGAATTAGCCACTATATATAAAGCATGAAACGCCAGAAAACCATTTGAAAGGAGAACTGACTGAATTGAGAGTATCATGAAGAAAAGAAATAGGGATAAAATCCTGTTGTATCACGAAAATGCAAATCCTGGATGAAAGGAGGAACGCCGATTAACTCATCTTGCAGATCTTTATGACACTTTTTTGCCACTTTTTTGCCGCTTTTTTTATTTGCAAACCCCATTTTCCGCAAAAAATCGATAGTCAAATGGGAAAGGGAATAATGGGTAACCTTGTCTTGCCTCAAGACCTCTGAAATTTTATTGAATATATGAGCGCATGTGTAATAGAAGACTCATGAAACCTTTTTAGAAGAAATAAGGACCTTTTCGTATCAGCTTAGCAGCCAACAACAGCAACGCAAGGACGAGCCTACTGAGTGTAAAGCCACCTCAGTATGAAGTTGACTGGACGAAAACCATAGTCCTACGCCAAGACTCAGCAACGTTTAGTTTACAGAATGGCGGTGTAGGCGACGGGAGTGGAAGCTGATTTTTCTCCTGTGGTGGCTCTTGGATTCGCGGTCATAACTTTGCAGGCAAGCAGCGCGTTAAGTGCTCGCAATAAACACGCGGTTTGACGAAGAAGAGAAGATTAGACAATGTATTGTTAGCCCAGCACTTCAGAGGCCCCCAGAGGAACCGGAGATGGGGCACTGATGGACAGAGGTTCCCCATCAATGCCCTATGCGTAGTACAACGTCGCCGACTACTTCGACTACCGCCGGTTTTGGCCGCTAGATCATGTCTTGTTTGGGCTTGAGGAAGGCACCGGAAACGCGTCAAGCGGTGACAGCGTAGATAGTTAAACCATTAGCTATATGTTGACGCTCGCCCTATGGAGCACAGAATCATGAATGAACGCTTGCGTAAGGGCGCAAAACTAGCGCGCTAAATATAATAAAAACAACTATCGTGTGATGGGACTATGTGGCCAAGTATGACTGCCCGTAGCGGTGGCCCATGGCGGTAGGCCACTTTCAGTGCATTTGTTTTCTGTGTATTAACTCACCTTTAAACATATAGCTATTAAAGTGTGACTCGAGCGTGTCCGACCTCTAAACGACCTGCACGATTCGCTGTTACAAACACATTGCTAAGAATGGCGGCGGAAGGCCATATAGATGTCCAGTTACCAATGTACTGGTTTGGCCAGCACGCCTTTGCAGAATAGTTTCTATTCACGGATGTTCTATAGCATCTGTATAGCAAGATACTAATCTGATGGAATAATTTCTATACTCAACGTTAACTTATTTCTCGGCACGAGCAAAACGAAATAATGTTTCCCTGCTTTCAACGTCAAAAATCTAAAGGTCTACATTATATACACAATATAGTATTTCCTCGACTAAAGGGGAAGAAAGTAACACGATACAGTTAAGGTGGTCTTGACATACGATTACATTGTTGCCTCCTCAGATGGCCGAATTGAAAAGTCGGCCACCATCTTGTTTTTTTTTCGAATTGTGTGAAACCTACTAGGTTTACCGAGTATCGACACTGCGCCGATGTTCTGCTGCGTTTCATCTATCCTGTACACATATAAAATAAATATGATATTTTATGTACTCAATTAGCGCTTTTATTCATACTGCTATAGATATACGCCAAAGTATGAATACGCTGTACTATATTCCTAGAGACCAAGACCTTATAGGTTCTTTTAGTGAGATAAATATTGTCGACTCTTAAAGCCTGACCGGGCCTTTTAATTTTCCTTCGCTCCATTAGAAAACGTAGCACATAGGAAGTCCACTTTGGTCTTACTCTACGATGGTTAACATCGCTCGCCTACAAAAAAAATCAGTCTACTGTCGCAGGCATTATCAGTTTCTGGTGTCTGGAGGAGCAGCAATAGGTTGCAGAGATCATCGATGTTGATCTACTTGAATTTTCTATGTGAACGTTAGCTCACTATATGCAATGTCAGCTCTGACCCTCATCAAAGGCATATTGATATCGAACGCCTGGACAGATTATAACGCGACAGGAAAAAAAATATTCAAGTACCATAACAATGGAATAAGCTAAATCTATACTTAACGGTATGACCGCTTTAAAACGAAACAGGAGAACCCTGCAATTGTAGGCTATTGATATCTTATTAACACGAATAGTGTCTAGAACATAGGAACAACTAGGGAATCGCTCAGTAATCGAGATGATCGGTATCTTCGATAGGATGTATGATGATTTCCTCCGACCACAGCTTATGCCTGTTCTAATACGTCGAGGTAGTCCTCACTGAATCATTAAAGGTTCCTTAGACC